AAAAATTAATGGCATTTTTAAAAAATCTTCATCTCAAGAACCACTGGGCCAGAAAAGATGAAACTCATGTGGAATCATCCTCAGGTAGTGTAGATTCAAGTTTGTTCAAATCATGAACCCCGGGGCTAGGGTGGGGCCAAAATGGCCGACCCAAGTTTTACATAGGAATATATAGGAAAAATCTTTATAAATCTTCTTCTCAAGAACCACTGGGCCAGGAAAGATGAAACTCATGTGGAATCATCCTCAGGTAGTGTAGATTCAAGTTTTTTCAAATCATGACCCCCGGGGCTAGGGTGGGGCCAAAATGGCCGACCCAAAGTTTACATAGGAATATATAGGAAAAATCTTTGAAAATCTTCTTCTCAAGAACCACTGGGCCAGGAAAGATGAAACTCAGTTGGAATCATCCTCAGGTAGTGTAGATTCAAGTTTGTTCAAATCATGATCCCCGGGGCTCGGGTGGGGCCAAAATGGCCGATCAAAGTTTGACATAGGGATTTATAGGGAAACCTTTTAAAATCATCTTTTCAAGTGCTTCAAAGCTATGATTAGTGATATTAATATGGAATCATCTTCAGGTAGTGTAGATTCTAGTTTGTTCAAATCATGAACCCCTCGGGGGTTAAAATTCAAGGCCCCCTGCCCCCAGTAAACTTTCAGTTCTGATCTGATATCTGCTTTTTCCTAGCCAATGTGCTCAGGTGAGCGCTGTGGCCCCTGGGCCTCTTGTTCCAGCTTGGTTTAAAAGACCCAATGAGCATTTGTATGGATGAAAATAACAAGATTTACATAGGGCAAATTCGTAGTATTACAATCAAAGTCTTTAAGTTATCATACTAATATAGGACAAATCGGAGTACTCCATGTGCTTTTATTACCGTCATCCGATGAACGGAGAAAAAACAGGGTCAATTAAATTGGCAATTTTTGACAAACTTCGTGCTATGAAGCCAATGAAAATTGGCTTTGGTTATAATAATACTACCTAATTTTTTATTCAATAGATACGTATATTTCAATCTGTCCTCAGTGACACTGCTTGTATATTGCAAATACAAGCTTAAAATTTCAACTGAGTTGTAATTGCGTTAGTTGTTGCTATTTTTTTTTTAAGTTTTCATGTCTACAAAAAACACTAGCACGATGCTCAAACTTACATTGTATCGGAAGGCTAATTTTTGTACAGACCTAAATTTCTTTTTTATACAATTGATTTATATAAATACGTTGATTGAATCTAAATGACAAATGATATACAGACATTTATGTAGTATATCTGGGCTCGTGCAATATTAGTTACATAATTTCACATAGACTATATAAATACTTTCATGAATATTATATAACATAGTGTAGGTCATCTTTAAAATATTGTTTGGCTGCCTTCTCCCGACCGAATAACAAAATATAATTTTATTCCGTCAAAATATATCTTCAAATTTTCCGGAAAATATGTTATTTCTATCTACCGACCCAATAAAGTTACGCTCAGTCGGCAGAGGGGAAGAAAACATTATTCTAAAGCTGGCCATTACAGCTACTTTGAAAGTTTATATACTAAATCCAGGTATGTTCATTAATTTGAAAAGTATGCCATTTACATGTCACCACTCTGACAAATCAACATATAAAACAAATGACATTCACATCTATATTAGTTTAATCTGTATTGTCATGGTGTTTTTTGTAAAAGTATTTATTGTCAGAGAGCCATTTTGGAGACAGCATGTTTTTGTTTTACCCACCTAATTGATTTTTTATTCACATATTTATACTTTTATTTAGTTTCTTAAACAACATACAATCAATCAATTAATCTTAAAAGACTTTCACAAAGTTACCAGAATTGCAGTATATATAATTGTCTTGCATGATCAAAGCCAAGCTTTAAGTGTTCAGATACGTGTGTGTTAAATATAGATGAGTTCATGCATGAAAATTCAGATTCTTTTTATTTATTGAAAGATCTCAATGGAATTTTTAACCAAATTATCTCAATTAGTCTCTTACATTTTTTTTGGGGGGGGGGGGGGGGGGGGGGGCGGATGCTATTTATTAATTTGTTTCATTTTGTCCTCATTTAGAAAAAAATACAAATTGAATTTTATACTTAACTGAAAACTTATTTTGAAATAAGACAATATGTCTTAATCCTGCATCACCACTTGAATCCCGTATCGCTTATTTTGTGTACTGCCACGTGCTTAATAATTTGTCTAAGCAATTGCGAACTTCCATTCTCTGAGATACTTATACAATTATACAACCCGTGTTCAGGAGAAATATTAATTAGACTTGTATGTTGTACATGTAAATTTAGATCATTGTTTCTCTAAAAATGTATTAACATTCCCTGGTGAAGTTTTATTTTAAGATCAAGAAATATGAACATATTAACATAAGTTGATTGTCTAGTTTCAAAACAGTTTATAAATAGCTCTTTATTTAGTTTTATTTTCAAATTTGACTTGTGCTTTGCTATTTTTGAAATTAATTTTTCACATATATTTATTAACAAGGCTGTGATACATTTTTGTACGTGATATGTCTTCTTTATTGTTTAAAATGCTTATAGAGAATATCAATAGTTCTTATATTAACTGCTTTGAATTTTGCTATGAAGGTAATTTTTCTTAAGAATACATATTATTAACAACTTTTGGAAAGAAAATTAGATTATTGCCTTATGGAACTGCTTTTTGTAATCTATCAGAAAAAAGTTATTTAAAAAAAATGTTCAACAGAAATGTTGAATATCAAGCTGCCTTTTCTAACAGGGTCCTCACTGTGATCAGTATCTGAAATTACACGCAAACGGCAATTGCAAATTATGTTTCTCGTTGGCAGGAAATTTACCATACCCATTTTTATATCTTAAGTCTTCCTCTGACAGCTGGTAATGCAAATTCTTAACCATGACACATTAAACTTTGACTTTTTTCATTTCTATATTTATATGTATATTGGTATTGTTTCATGCATAATAAAATTTGTAAATTTGTGCTTGTCCGTTCCTCAAATTATTGAACATTAAATTCATTGTACCGGTATTTTAGTAGAGTGATAATATTTGACATCTACGGTCTACAAAATAAACTTAATCAGTGTTTTGGTAAAAACTTAGACCCTTTTAGGTCACCTGAGCTGAAAGCTCACGTGAGCTTTTCTGATCACCTATTGTCCGTCCGTCCGTCTATCCGTCCGTTCTTCTGTAATCTTTCACATTTTTTTAAGTAAACTCAGGTGACCTATTGCTATCCGTTTCCGCCCGTCGTCGTTCGTCGTGCGTTAACATTTGAACATTTCCAGCTTCTCTGAAACTGCAGAACAAATTTCAACCTATTTGGGCACATAGCATCTATGGGTAAAGAGGAACAAAAATAATGAATTTCATGGTCCCTGGGGGGTGGGGCCAAAACAACTAAAATTAGTTCAATCTTTAAAAAAAATCTTCTGTATTCCTGGGCATCAGGCAGTCAAACTGCTGGTATGATTGTAATCAGCATTGAATCATCTACCAAAATTGTGAAATTCATGGCCCTAGGGTCAGGGGTTCTAGTGCAAGGGCGGGTCTAAAAAGATTATATAGTGAAAATGCATAAATTCTTTGAAATAATCAAATTCTTCTTCTCTGCTCATGGGCATTAAATAAACTAAACAAGTACATAGTTAAGCTGAATAAGGTTGCCTCTTTCCAAACTATAAATTTCATGGCCCCAGGGTCAGGGGTTCTAGTTTTAGGGCGGGGCTATATAAATTATATTGAACATATATAAATTCTTTGAAATTCTTCTTCTTTGCTCCTGGGCATAAAATAAACTAACCAAGAGAATAGTTTTGTTGATTAAGGCTGCCTCGTCCAAAACTGTGAATTTCATGGCCCCAGAGGTAGGGGGGGGGGGGGTACATAGTCTGAAAATAAATCAATGCTTTGAAATCCCCCATTTTGATATAAATCAAAAAGGAGTATATATGATAAGAGCCAATTTTGGCCCCCTAAAAATCAACATATTAGAATGACAATCAGATATGTTTAATTGATATTTATTTTGAAGAATAGATTATATTAGAAATATTTCTAATATATTTTTCACATTTATATGCACTCTCTAGCTGTAAATGACATGAGAAATAATGCTATTTTTGCTATCTAACATAAAAGGAAAAAATATTCCTTTTTCTTGATGTTTTTTTTTCTTTTGGGAAACAAGGAGCGCAGTGTAGAACATGCATAATTTTTCTGTCACTAATCAGTATTGGATAGATACATATTTGGTAAAAATATAAAGCTTGTTCTAGGCTGCGCTCTACATTTTCTGTAAGAAAAATTGCTGTAAAATAAGTCGTTTTATACAAAATATGCTAAAATGGCGGGAAAACGTGATTTTTATGATGTCATATTTCTAAAATAACGGCATTTTGATCAAAATGAAAATGACCAATAAAGGTCGCATATATAGCTGTACAAATTAAAGCTATATATAAAGTAAAATTAAGATATTCATTTTAAGGGGCAAATTGAGACACTTACCATATATCCCTCTTTATGATGAAATAAAATTTCGGATAAAATTTCCAAAATTTTGAAATATATGGCCCCACGGGTCTTGCACATATAGTTATGTGCACGATTCAAATGTTTAGATAGAGGAAATTCAGATAACTCAACGATTGTTTACACAATATCATTATTGATAGTATGGTGATATAATTCGCACACCGGACAAATAAAGAAATGAGATGATACAATCTTAATTACACAATATTTAAAAATCAGGACAAATATAAAATGACTGGGGTGATAAAAAAGTAACAATACAAAAAATATTCCATCCTGAAACCAATTGCCTATGGATGAAAATACCCAATGGCATATTATTTCCTTTTTTAAAAGATTTATTATATTATTATTTAATTTTATAATTTATGCTAACAAACTTGAATTTAACCCGTTAAGTAATCCATTTTGAAAAGGTTCATACCTTACCTACGCCATATTTGTTGTACATGAAAAATGTAGTCGTAGTATTTTTTTATGAAATGAAATGTTGTAAATAAAGGAAGATTGTCCGGGATGACTGTCCTGTATTACTGCTGGTCTGTTCTGTTTCTGTGGAGATTCTGTTTAACATTGGTATGCGTTTTTTTTAGTTTATTTTGCCATTTTTCTTCTTTATTCGAAAGAAAAGTAGGTATATGACAAACACTACAAATTTTACCTCAGTTAAAAATTAGCTCACAGGAACAAATAAGCTATAATATTTGTTCATTTACATTCGCCCGAGATTTCCACGCCCCATGAAAACGATATAACCAATAGTACGAGGCATTTATGATGTAAGCAACTTGTCGCATGTCTGATGACGTAAATTTCATTGAGAGTGTCAAAATTCAATAAAAAGAATATTCAGGCGTGTATGAACTTAAGATTTATTTCAAGCTAGCTCTCAAAAATGTCGGGAGTTTTTAGTGAATTTGACTTTGACTTTTTTACTGGGTTTGAAGATTTTGACGATTATTTTTTAGCCAGGCACTCGACAAATATGAAATCACATAAACAAATATCACGTAGTTGAACGCTATAAAGTTTGGATATTTTACCGTAACTTTCAAAATGGATCGATCTTTTGAGCGACTGGGAACATTCAACTGAGTTAAATACATATACCGGGTATTTTAATTTAGTTAAAGGTTAAGAAATAGCTAAACACGTTCATTTTTCTGTGGTTAGGAACTTGTGAAATAAAATCAGTTTTTTTCTTATGACCTGATTTCCGCCTCCTGCAGTGATATATGAAGGGGCGTGGAAAGTATTATCGCATGTGTGATATGGGATATATCACCACAGAAAGATCAATGAAAATCACTGCAGATATGCGACAAGGTCATGATGACAACTTTGAAATATGCACCCCATGTAATGCTATGACCACGCCCACCGGATATCTGAACAATAATAAAAATAATAGGGTGAATATGGAACGCCATCACTGCCTTATAGCATAAAACTATGCATTCATTGTGTCAATCTATCATTGCGTGATGTGAACATATCTTTACGTTATGTCAATTTCTTATGGGGTGATGTAAAAATATCTTTACATCATGTCAATTCTGCATCACATGAAGTAAACACATTCTTCCATTATGTCAGCATTTTATAACTTGAAGTCCAAAGTTCATTATATGAAGTGAAAATATGTTTACATTGTGTTAAAACTTGATTACGTGAAACGAATGTTTCTTTATACTATTTCATTTCTTTAATATGTGAGGTTAAAATTGCATTACGTCAAGTTAATTTCGTTTTACATGTGTTCTATGATTAATTTATCATTACATTAAGTCAAAGTCCATTCCCTTTTGTGAGTTTATATTTCTATTATAACTAGGCATTATTACGTGATGTTAATGTATCTTTATTTTACGCCGAGGTCATCACAATGTGAGGTGAAAACATCTTACCTTTATGTCAGTGCTTTATTACGTGATGTAAAAAGGTTTATAACATAATGTGAACATATATTATGGAGACAGTCCCGGCGTTCCATATTATACCAACACTTTATTACATTATGTCAAAACTCCATTCCATGATGTGGACATATAATTACGTTATGTTAACTCTTTCTCATGTGATTTAAAACTATCTTTACATTGTGTTAATTCTTTATCATGTTGATTACATATTTTCATTACGTGCTGTAAAATACATGTACATTATGTCAACGTTGATAACCGTGCTTTCACGACTGGGAAGGGGGGGGGGGGGTCCTGAATAATTTATATGAGGGGGGGGGGGTCTGGCTTCCTCTTTATCATAGAAAATGTTCATTGAAATTCGCCCCACTTTTTGCTGAAATATATGGGTAATGTAGCATATTTGGAATTTTTTTTTAGGACTGATTGAAGTTGGAACCCCCCCCCCCTTATTTCACCCGAAAAAGGATTTTCGAGTTTGGACATTTTTTTTGCTTTTTCTTGTACGTTATTTTTTTTTCTGGCTGACAATTAAACCTCCCCAAACTTTCAAAAACGATGCAACGTCACTTGAATGAGTAATTTTTCAACCATTCCAGGACTAGAATTCTGTTACAAAAATCTACCAGTCCCTCACTTAAATCAATTGACCATTCCTTAGTAAACATGGGCACATATCAGTGGCGATCTTGGGTTCTTGAAAAGAGTAGCTATAGGGGGACGGTATGGTGTCTAAGTTGGGGACCAGGGGGTGAAAGCCTGGAGGCTCTCAGGCTTAATTCATTTTTTTATATAAAACGTTTCAACTTATTTCAGTTATACTTTATGTGAGACTTATGCAATGTCCTACAAAGTAAACCAATCAATTAATTTCATGCATATTTTGGTCACTAAAGATGGGAGGGCAGAATCCCCCCTCTCCCCACCAACCCACTAGTGCACGTATGAAATACGATGTGTTTTTACACTTATTTTTTTTTAAAAAAAGAGGAGGTTAAAGACTGATAAAAAGCTAAGGACAGTGTTTTGTAGTTAGATCAGAAGTTTCGGACTTTTCACAATAATTCAAAATAAAAAGGAAAATATTGCTGAATAACACATACTATTGGATTTGCGATAATTATGAGATTTAACGGCCATTGAATTTCGACGTTAAAAAAACAATCGTCAATAAATATTTCACGGGAACATGATCCTATTTATAAATTTTAACCGGATATTTAATTAAGAATTAATTAAGTCTTGTGTATATGATTTAATATTTGATATGTTTAATTTAAATTATTTGCATGTTTAACATATGTGCATGTAATATTGAAAACACAAAACGAACTTTTAGGCATAACCTAAACCTTACGTCACACAATAAAGAGTTGAAATATTCTAAGATATACTGACAAGAGGCTAAGCATTTTAGACACACTGTAAAGATACAGTGGCATAACATAATAATGATTTGTCAAAAAAGTAAGGGAAAATCGACATCAAGTAAACGATTCCCGTCGTTATGTAGCATATTGATGACATAATATAGTAAAGAATTGGCCACATGTGACAATTTTTCACATCATGTAATGAAATTCTGACATCGTGTTATAGCGGCTTGATATTGAATTAAAGATGAATTCACATAATGTAATGAACTACTTAGACCAAATAGTAGAGAGTGCACATAATGTAATAATGAGTTGAAATTATATAAAACATTTTTACACCACGTAAAATTGTTTTGACTTAATGTCATAAAAGGCTGATATAATGCAATGGAAGATTGGTGCAATGTAATTGAAGTACGAGTTAATGCCATAAAGGCTTAATATAATGTAATGGAAAGTTGACATAACGCAATAGTAGAGTGTGTAAATGTCATAAAGAGTTAACATAATGTAATGGAAAGATGACATAACGCAATAGTAGTGTGTGTAAATGTCATAAAGAGTTGATATAATGTAATGGAAAGTTGACTCAATGCAATAGCACTGTAAGTAAATGTCACAAAGTGTTGACATAATGGAATGGAAAGTTGACACAATGCAAATGTAGAGTTCTGCTATAAGGCAGTGACGGCGTTCCATAGGTGAATATCTTCCGTCGTCCATGTTGTTGTCATGCTAAAATAACTCTCCCGAGTTTTAGTTCTTTTTACAAAGTATTCTATTGCCTTTTTGTAGACAATGTACATGGTATTTGAATCTCAAGACCTTTTTTCACTTGTTTTTGAAATTTTAAGGGTGAATAGTTTTCACTCCCTGTCTGCTCATCTGCCTGTCTTTTTGTTTGTTAGTCAGTTTGTCCGCAAAACTTTTACCTTGACCAAAACTTTTATTTGGCTTGACGTCAATTCTTCACGCATGAATTGCTTGAATAAGACCTTTCTGCTTGAATGGTTACCGGTAGACATGGCAGAGGTTGTTTCCCCATGTATACATAACCGGATATCGTCTGTGCATTGCACATTTAAAACCGGTCGCTGTCAGAATATCGAAAAACGAAATACGTTGTTTTTTTTTTTTTATTAAAAAAAAAACATGTTCATACATTTGTCAATCAGTTACAAAAATTATTTTATTATAATAAAATCAATGCAGAAACAGTCACTTTTGTCTAAGCACAGAACAACACTGAATCACAGGGCACTATAGCACAAGTTTTTACTGCGACACACGGTCACTGTCTTTCACAAAAAACAATGGAATGCAGGTCTGCCACTAAAATATCGCTTTAAGAACCTCTGCTAACACAAGACGTTCGATGTTTTGAAGTACTGACAAATGGACTTTAATTTTCTCTGTCATCTCGAGCGAGGTCCGAATAACTTCAATGGCCTGCTGAATTTCTGCCGTCGGTGGTCGGACTGGTGGGGTTGGTTAGTTCTCACGTTCTTCTTTCTCATCTTCACTCTCTGCTTCCTGACTTTTGTTCCCTAGCATGGCGTCGACAAAGGCTACATCGTTCAGGGTTTCTGATGTGCTGACATCTTCATCGACTTGGGCGTAGTCTAGGAATGGAATGTGGAGACGGAGGTCAGCCAGGTGGATGTCGTCATCTGGATCTTCCTTGTCACTTTCTGCTGCTGCTGCCATGGGGTGGTCTTGTGTGGCCACGGTAAAATCAGCATGGCGAAAACAGTTGGCAATTGCTTTCTGACTGACTTAAGCCCATGGTTTGTTAAGCAGACGCAATGCATCAAGCACATTTATCGTAACTTTTTCTTTTCAATAGCCTTGAGCTGCCGCAAAATGACTTCCTTCCGGTAGTGAACCTTTAGGTTCTGGATAACCCCTTTGTCCATGGGTTGGGATTTGCTAGTTGTGTTTGGTGGCAAAAACACTAACTGAATTGCCTTAAGACCTGTCACATTTGGATGTGCAGGGCAGTTGTCTAAAACCATGGCCACTTTGCGCTTCTGATGTTGAAATTTTCTGTCTAAAGATCTAACCCAATTTGAGAAAATCTCAGACGTCACCCATGTTTTTTTATTTGCTTCATACAGAACATTTTTAAAACACCTGGGATTTTTAGCTTTGCCGATATCAAGAAGCGGCATATTTTCTGTTCCTGTCATGTTAGCACAGACGAGGACAGTAAGTCTGTCTTTACTGCGTTTCCCACCATTGCAGTCAACCCCCTTAAACTCTAGGGTTTTGTCAGGCATAAGCCGAAAAAACTACAGAGGGTGTACAGGATATATTTAATTTCTAGAGAGTGTGTGCAGGATAAACGTACCCCAGCCACAAAACAGTTAACGTGTCATCCACACGTGTGCATTAGACTAATACACACAACACTTGGCTTGCATAATCAAAGTCAAAGTTATAAGCCATACATACATTGAAATGCATTCACAACTTTTTAAAATAATTATTAAGGTCTTCCGTCTTCACGGAAGACCTTTTAGTGATTCTACTGTTTCTTATTATTATTATTTTTTTCCCCCAAATTTTGTGCAGGCGATTTCTCGAAAACTATTCAGTGGTTTTCAGTGAAACTTTCTGGAATCATGCGTCATTATATGAAGTTGTGGCATGACAAGAAAAATTTGGAATACTCACCTTCGGTTCCAAGATATTGACAGTTTTCTGATTTTAATATGGATTTTTGTTCCCCCTTTTTAAAAAAAAAATGGCTAAAGATATTAACTGGAGACTTATTAGAGGTGATAGATGATGACTTCTAGATTTGCTGAATCACCTTTTCGTGCGTCGTTATTACTTCCAGTTGCTATAGGAAGTGAAATTAAAAAGTCCATATTTTCTAACTTTTTTGTTTTTCAATATTTTTCATTTATTTTTGGAATGTTAATAGAAACCTTTCTTTTAATGCTTACTGTATAATTTGTTTGAATATTGATAAATCCAAACTCTAGATATTAACATTTAGAAATCTGAAGCGGGTCCAAAATGGCGGCTGTCTCTGTCAACTCCGACATTGCGCAAATAAGGGTCAGCAGAGCGTTTGTTTATACGGAAGTAACCTAAGGATAAATGAAATGTTAAGGAAAACTTCGATTGTCACGTCGTAGTTACGATGCAATTCTGTGTCAAACTAAGTTTTAATCCATATTCGTCTCAAACGTCTTCTGTAATTTGCTTTGGCTGGTTTTCAGAGAAGAAAAAGAAAAACTAAATGTGATAACGTAATACGATACCTAATATATTTTGCTTTTTGCGGAAAGTCAGATTTTAAATCATAGTTTTAAGTAAATGTTTTTAAGAAACAATATCGATGTATATAGTAAGTATCAAACGCGTAACCACTGTTTTGCTCATGCAAACCTCTGTCATATTAAACAGATAGAAAAGACAATTGTAAGAAAACATTTAAAAAAAAAAAAAAAAGATCATTCAATGGAGTTTACATTAACATTATTGTATCAAGATCTGATTTATGTTATAGAACATAAATATAATATGGCAGATGTACTATTGCAGAAGTATTTACAAGTACATTTAGACCTGTGGTCCCAATAGTGTAATAGTAAGCTTTTTGGATTTTCAAGCTGGTGACTCGGGTTCAATCCCCTTTGTTTCCATAAAAAGTTTTATCACTTTTTTCAGCTCGTTTCTGCGTTTTTTCTTTTTCAGAATCGAACGGAAGACCTCTCGTTGCTCGTAACGAGACCTCTCGTTGCTCGCAACGAGTTTCTTTTCTAGTTTTAATACTATTTGTTATTTCAATTATATAGTGGTTGCCGCAATGAAATCTTACAACCGTTCTGTAGTTGTCATTTGCAATGCAAAGTATTAGCGCTAATATCTATAATCTGGTGACAAATTAAAAAGCCTTCTAAATCCGCCTGAAAAGGGACGTATCGCTGTCATCTATCCTTTACACTAAGGGTGTCTGAATTTGCATCTTCTTAAATTCTTGTTAAACAAAACACATAACTGCAATATTTTGGAATTTATCAACATACATGTGGACATACTACATGTAGTAGTTTTAAAATACAGTTTTGTTTCTCAATCTTCATTTTTTTTTTTTTTGTTGTTTTTGTTGAGATTTTTGTATAGAACACTAATTATTTAAATTGCAGGTAATCTGTATTTGGAAACTGGAGGGTCAGAACACTATATAGATGAAACTACCCGTATTATTTCCTTCTTCAAACGATTTCTTATATCAAACAGGGAAGTAATATTATGCAAACGAACTTTAATTTAACCTGCTAATTGATCCAAAAAGGTCATACCTAACCAACGCCATATTTGATTTGCAAGTCTTAGAGAATGTGGCTGTACATAGTGTTTTGAAAAATAATGTGAAATGGAGAAAATAGAAGATTAATCGAAATGGCTGTCCTCTGGTCTGTTCTGTTTCTGTGGAGCTGTTGTGTACATGTAACATCGGTATGTTCTCTTTTTTTAGTTTATGTGACCTTTTCCTTCTTTATTCAAAACGAAAGTAGGAATTGGAGAAACATTTTACGAATTACAATCTCACTTCAATTAAAAATTAGCTTACTGGAACAAATCAGGCTTTGATATTTGTTTATTTCGATTCATTTTTCTCCAACTTTGTATGGGTATATAGTATAATTATACCGATGGACTTGGTCATAATGACAAGTCGGGAAATATGCATTTATTGTCATAATGTCCACGCTTTTCGTTCTTTTTAAAGAACTATAATTGTCATTTTATAGATAATGTACACGATATTTGACGTCAATAATTATTATGCCTCCGATATTGAAGATTCGGGTGTAAAAAGGTTTTGCCCCTGTCCTTTGGTCCGCTTGTCTGCCTTTCCGCCTGTTTGTCTGTTAATATGTTTGTCTGCAAAACTTTCATCATGCCCATAACTTTTTATTAGTAGGAGTTATTGCTTTAATCTAATATTTCACATGGTAATTCTTGTGCAAGACCTTTCTTTAGGTATGAATAAAAAATGGCCTCCTGACATTGACCTCGGAGTTTGACCCACTTTTGCAAAAAAATATCAAATTTGACCCTTGCAATAACTTTTGTACAATAATTGTTAGTACTAGGGCTTTCATATTTCACAAGTGTATTCATTGTGGCAAGTCTTTTCCTTGTGTATCTTTGATTATGACCATTTTACTTTGACCTTGGAGTTTTACCCACCTTAAAAAATTTGTTAACCTTTGTCATAACGTTTAAACGGTTGGTTTTTGGGCTTTTATATTGCAAAAGTATATTCATACAGTAATACAAGTTCTTTTGGGTCGTTCGTTCTTTGGAAAGCAAAATTTTTGATCTCTTGATTTTAGAGTCTCATGTGCATTTGCGAAACTTTAACCTTTGTCATGGGCTGATATATGGGGTTTCAGCATTTCACAAACACATCATGTAAAACGCTGATACTCTATCCGTATGCCGGTCTATGGCGAAGGTTATAGTTTCATTGTGTCACAAATACATCTAGTGACAAGACATTTCTTTGCTTACCAACATATTTTACCTCTTGACCTTGGAATCTGACACTATTCTACAAAAAGTTACCATACTTAATTAATATTGGCCTTACTTTTTGTTGGTGCAGTTGGTCCAATGGATTTCGTACTACACATGTGTATTTAATGTAACAAAACTTTTCCCTTCTGTTAAAATATTTTTGATATTTATCTGACAGCTGGACCAATTTTTAAAAGAGATGACCTTGGTCATAACAGAACCAAGGCTTTCATATTTCACTGGTGTATTTCTTGTGACAAAACCTAAGTTTGGACACCAAAAGTTCTTATCTGTCGACCTTAACTTTGGTGTTTGATAAACTTTGAAGATGTATAACCTTGGTCATAACTTTGAGAAATTCATGCTAGTTCCATGTATCCTTTCAAAATTGACTTATTTACTAAATGCAAAATTTTCATTTCTGTTACATTTCACAATGAACCCACACGATTCAGTCAAATAGAGTCACTGAAAGGTCTAGGCAGTTACTGAGTAGAAGTACTCATCCATTTAGCGACCTTTCAATAGACTTTTTGTTTAGTTGCTTGAATGGTTTCATAAGAGTGCAAAAGTGCTGCAGATTTTGATAATGACTCATTAAGAAAATGTGCGTAACTCTGGAGAAATTAGTAAATTATTACAAGAATGTGATATATATGAATAATCTGCTACATGAGGAAAAAAAAGGACAATAAAATTCTGAAACTTTGTGACATCATCACCCTAATATTTGATTTCGATAATATACCTCCAGAAAAACTTTCTTTCCCACGATTCTTTTGATTATGTTCCATTGCATGTAGTTGTTTTTAAGTAAAAAGTTGACTTGAACTTACACTAACAGGACGGATCAAGGAAGCTTCAAATAAAAGAAGTTGACATTTGCCCAACAGACCAAATATCATGGGAGAAAGCATCACGTGACGTAAACTGCACTAATCCAGATAGATACCAGTGTACCCCAAATGAAAACCTAACAGCGTTACTGGAATACTGTTATCATCAGCCACCTACTTTCGTCGAGAAAGGTATTTTTTAAGGGGGCACAGCTGGTACTTATTTTAATATTATTTAAGTATATTCATTTAACTTTTTCCAAATGAACACATTCCATAAATAGGGTTTGAATGATGTACTACATTTGATTTCAAAACTGATAACAATGTTGCACTTTTATTTAGGCCATAATGTAATTGTTTAGACTTAAAGTATGACACTCCTCAGTTTTTGAGAAAAGTTTGGTCATAACTTCTAAATTATAAACGCTTAAAATTCAATTATTTTGACATACATTTAATTTAATATAACAGTGCAAAACATACAATAATCAAATCAGATATTTCTATCAATTCAAAGAAACGAGATTTATTAGGGATATCATTTCTTGTGGTTGAAAGACATGTAAGAAGAAAGTTCTTCGAATTACACCTTTGTTTGATAAAATAACTTCGAACTCTACATATTTTTATTTGAGAATCTTTTTTTTTGGGGGGGGGGGGGGGAGGGGGATTATATAAAAGGAATATTGTTTTTCTCCTGAAAATTGCATAGTTTGATGTATTTTGAAATTTTCATGTTTTTCTTGGTCTTAAAAGCTTGATACACTGTATAAAAATTCAAAATATTTTATTACCTACCTTTTTTTTTGACATTAATCACAAAAAAGTCCATTATTGTTTACATGTAACATGTTACATAGCAGAATAAAAAAAAACCCTAATATGTGTCCTTATTGAAGCGCAAAATGTATGTGGCACAAGTATAAAAACTGAAACAGGTCACCGGGAATCTTGCTCATTTTTAGCTCACCTGAGCCAAAGGCTCAAGTGAGCTTTTCTGATCACAATTTGTCCGTTGTCTGTCGTTGTCGTCGTAGTCGTCGTCGTCCTTGTAAACTTTTTACATTTTCGACTTCTTCTCAAGAACCGCTGGGCCAATTTCAACCGAACTTGCCACAAAGCATCCTTGGGTGAAGGGGATTCAAGTTTGTTCAAATGAAGGGCCACGCCCTAATTCAAGGGGAGATAATTGGGAATTAATGAAAATTTGGTGGTATCTTTTGAAAATCTTCTTCTCGAGAACCACTGTGCCAGGAAAGATGAAACTTATGGGGAAATACCTTCAGGTAGTGTAGATTCAAGTTTGTTCAAATCATGACCCCCGGGGTAGGGCGGGGCCACAGTGGCCGACCAAAGTTTTACATAGAAATATATAGGAAAATCCTTTAAAAATCTTCGTCTCAAGAATAACAAAGCCATAATTGATCATATTTATATGGAAGCATCATCAGGTAGTGTAGATTCAAGTTTGTTCAAATCATGACCCCCGGGGGTAGGGCGGGGTCACAATGGCAGACCAAAGTTTTACATAGATATACATGTATATAGGAAAATTCTTTAAAAATCTTCTTCTCAGGAATAACAAGCCAGAAATGATCATATTTATATTGAAGCATTCTCAGGTAGTGTAGGGCGGGGCCACAATGGCCAATCAAAGTTTTACATAGACATATATAGGAAAATTCTTTAAAAATCATCTTATCATTAAAAACAAAGCAATGACTGGTCATTTGACTACTTTTGGATTTAAACTTTTCAATAATAATCCAATTTCTACTTTTTCCTAGCCACAGTGCTCAGGGGCCTCTTGTTTATATCCATATTCTCAACAACGGGAAGTTAATTTCTGTATTTAGATACTTGTGTATTTGATATTCATTTGCATTCTTAGATTTATGCAGGAGGTATAGGAATAGGGGTTTTTAAATAAAAGAAGTGGCAAAATTTGAAAACATTAATTTAAAAATATTACTTTTTATGTTTGATAAAAAATGTGGATTGAAAATGTACACGAAATTTAAATCTTTGTGAGTTTTCAAAACACTGAAAACTTCAATCTGCTTGTATGGGAATCTTTACCTGTGTACATTTTGGAAAAAAGTTAATTTTATTTGAGACGAGGTCTTTTTACAGGACCTGGTGCAAGCGTTATGAAGTCCTGTTCAAACTTCTATTTTAAATTTTATTAAAATGCAAAATTGCAAAATTGCATATCACTTCTTTGAGATTTTGTTTTGCTATTGATTATATTGTAGGCTTCTGCTGGATCATATCAGACTCCTATTTCACGAATACATACAGCTGCTCCGGATTTAAAGAGGGATGTCCACATATGACCTACAGAAGCAATGAGCTTTATAAATGTTTGTATGAATTTTTAGTGGTACAGAATACTAAATTCTGTTGTTGCTTTTTCAATAATATGACCAAAATAAGCATTTTTTCTAGTGGTCTTTACGTAATCTTGAATCAAGTAAATGTGAGTTTATTTTGAAGTTTTATCTTGAATCAAGTGTATGTAATTTCTTTTTTGAATGGGCGATTTGTTTTCCTTTTTCTATTTTGATACAGACAAATATCCAGAGAAAAATGTTTGGCATTAAAACATCAAAAGATTTTGATGATAATGTTTACCTCGAGGAAAAAATAAAAAAAAGTAACAAGTACAAGCTAGAAAGTCTGCCATTGCAAGCAATAGCTTACTTCGCCCCGAACTGGACAAGACTTTCATCACTAAAACAATACCCATTAGTTAAGCTTGGACAACCATCAATTCGTATCAATCCTTTCGGTACTTTGATTTAAGAATAAAAGTTAACGAATTTTCACTTTTCCCCTGTTTCCATGACAATTTGCAATTTTTAAATGCAACACTCACAATAAAAGATACAAATCATTTAATCAACAAAGTTTCATAACGAATGTCCAAGGGACCAGAGTGAACACTTGCGGACAAAATTCGTCGCTTTTTGCATGTTTCCATGGCAACGGTAGCCATTTTGAAACTGAATCACCACACAACACAACTACAACCAGTGATCGTCCTTTTGAGGATAATTTCAGGAAGATTGTCCCAGCCATCTCCGAGAAACAGCCCGTAGAACAAAAACATTCATTCGGGGCGACATAATAATAGCAGATATACATGTAGATATATGCTACAATGAAATATATGTGTGTATGAGAGAGAGAAAGAGAAAGAGAGAGTATTAAAATTTCAAAATATTCTAAATAAGATAATTAATTTTACGTCTTGTATATTTCTTATATTTACAATGCCAAGGTCACCTGATTCTCTCAAGTGACCCCATTGCTATCAGTTTTGGTTCGTCGTCGTGCATTACATTTGAACCATTTGAAACTTTTTCCATTTTTAACCAGTTTTTGGCCTACAATGACTGTTACAAAGGAAAACATGGTCCATGCCACTCTGAGCTCGAGGAGCGAGGCTAAAACCCTAACAAATAAATGCAATATTTAAAAAAATATTCTTTTAATCTGGATACCAAACAGGAGACAGATGGACGTTCGATTATTTTTCCTTTTTGTAATAAACAAAAACAATCTACCAAATATTTGAATTTCTTTCACACGGGACAGGGTTTTTGTTAATTACGGCGAGACCTCAATTATCATGTAGTGAAATTGTGAAAATGAATCAATTCTTAAAAGAGACATCTCTCCTATTGTATTTTTTTATATTAAGCAGAAAAAAGAAGACTTGTCAAGATGAACAATTGTTTTTCTCTAAAATGTGAATTTTATTGTCCAGGGTTAGGGATTTTCGCTTTAGGATGGGATTGTTTTGATACATTTGATATGGTGTGATTTATTAATTGTATATAGTAAAAAGACATAATCTATTTGAGCATTTCCTTGGCATTTATTTAACAAACTATTCATATACTAATGATAAACAAGGGTGCCTATTTAAAACATATGTGTCTCGCGCCTCTTGATCAAGGAAATCTGGTGTTAGGATGAAGGTCTATTTAACATATTGTGAAAATACATTATATTGTTGAAAATCTTCTCTTCTTCTGAGTATTTATGATAAACAAATGAGCAGTTATCCTGCCTCTGATAAAAATCTTGAAATTTCATTGTTTGAGAGAAATACTGTATTCAACAATTTTATGCTGTCAACCAACATTATATTGCTAATGTCCCCCCTCCACGTGACCTACCCACTATATGTTAAACTTACATGAAATTCACCAACTACACATCATCAATGTACTGTTTTCACATGACCCCGCACAGGGGTTCCTAAACTGACGTCACATTGCGTCTTGCCCAGTTGGCATTTTTTTCAAGGACCCAACATATTTATGTTTTCCCCTCTAAGTGTCTACATAACTAATAATGTGCGTCTTATAATTTTGTGAAATTCGAGGCCCATGTTGGAAGAGAGGGTCCATGGAATATATTGTGAAAATATACAACTCTCTTCTCTGCTCTTGAAACATTAACATTAATTCTTTGGGACTACTTTCGATCCCTACGAATAATGATATGAAGCTGTAGCGTAACGTAATATTACTGAGTGGTCTGGAGATTGAGTATTAAACAGACAAAGTAATTATGACCCCCGCTCCGGAATTTTCTTTTCCTCCTGCTGTTTGGTGACACATCTTTAGCTATCATTATTCTCTTTTATGGGTCATTTTACACTGATAATTACTGACCGTTAAGACTCTCAAGCTTCTTGTTTAACTATTTACACCTTTTGAATCCCCATTTTTCAAACGACACTTTGTTATATTCATGAATAAGGTAAATTTCAGATTAGGAAATCATGTTTCATGGTTATTCCTTTACTAAAACTTTATGTATGGTAGGATGAAAACTTTGCATACGTTATTCTATGTTATACTGATGTCATACGAACATAAAAAATGCATTGGTAAAGGTATTTATGTTTGAAAAGTAAATATTCTGTTCTGTTAATTTCTTTCAGATCAGGAATGTCTACAACTAAACAAGTTGAAAGGATGTTATTTGGCCGACCCAAAATGCCCAAGCCTGGGGTAAAAACTCCAAATTAATCGTTATTTCATGTTTATGATCAGATAAATGTGTACATCTTGTATAATTTTCAAGTTTATTTTTAGGAAAGGGACAACCACACCGTCTACTACGAAAAGGAATATAGATGATACTTTTTCCTCAAGAATATTCATTTGGGGGATGATTTCTGGTGCTTCCATAATTGTCATCGTCATATTTGCAATATTTGTAATAAGGAAATTAATAGGTACATGCATATGGCAGCATACAAAAAAGTCTAGATAATAGGGTGATTGATAGAAAAATTTGTAGATAGATAGCATCATTTTTCTGGGTGCAGGAAATCGATTAAAGTATTTTTTATGACTTCAAATTTTTTATTATTCTTTTTCCTTTAAATTACAGTTTGCAAAAGCCAGGAGGGTAGTCCTGATGAAGAACTATCTTTGCTTTCGGGTATTTATACAAACTTTCATATATTTTTCTGTATTGCAACTATAACTTGTTACATGTATTTCATCTTTCTGAGTGATGTATCAATTTATGATATTTTGATGCTACAAGTATTTATACAAATATTCAAAAGAACTGCTACCATTCATTTGAAATTCGTTTTATTAAATGTTAATTTATTTTTCCAATACGTTCATGATGGAAAACAAACTATTCAAAAAAGTAAATACGGTAGGCATACGTAGAATAAAAAGAAACATTTTTTTAATATTAGTGTACGTTGATAACATTGTATATAGTTCATAAAATCACTTTGGTTTTAATGTTAATTGCTTTTCCTTTAGGAAAAAAGGTAGAAGCAGTTGACGAAAATGTTGTGTTGCGATGTTTACTTCCTATAAATCACAGGATCATTCAAGCACGGCATATAACATGGTTTAAAGATGGAGAGATAATCAATTTAAAAAACGCAACAGAAAAGTACAGTATTGCAGAGGAGAGGCAGGCCTTTGTCATTGAAAATGCAAATCGTCTTGATATTGGGGAATACGTTTGTGGTATCAAATACTCATGTAATTGTATGGGGATGGATGAGAATGTTACATTCAAACTAGGTATTCTGTTTTATGTTTGCATAATATTAAGATTCATCTAGTAATGTATAAGATTAAGTATCTCTGTAGAAAATTTAAGTTTGAAAGGGCTAGCTTCGAAGCCAGTTTGTCACGTCAGTAAATAATTCATTTGAATTCATTTGAAAAAAAAACTGTACAACTGTGCTGTATATAAAGTTGTTGTTCCGAAATCAAATTTAGGTAACACTTCGCGACAGAAAAGGTTAACCTGTATTTTTATATTAGCACCCTCAACAGGTTTGTTTTTTTTATAAAACCTCCCTGAAATATACAGGTATAGTCTCGTAAGTATAGCCAATACAAACATCTTAAATATGAGGATTTTGTCAGGAGCATAGAGCAATAAGCATCATTTAATGATCGGTCTGCACTCTGCAGGACATATATATACGCCATTTGATCGCTAAATATACTTTGATTAATTATACATGTATTATAACACCTTTCATCATTTCTTGTAGTAAAAGCTCTAGACTTGAATTCATTTTCGTGACTTTATATTTGTATTCTGTTTTCGTCAACATTATGGATTTTTGCTTTATTATAGCTTTATTAAAATTGAAACTTTGAGTTATACTGTACTAGTAATTGTTAAAAATTGAAAGTTTAATTTACTTCAATGAATACAATTATGGTACGGTACTTTAAAAAAGTTTTGAAATTTACGTCTTTTTATTAAGAATACTATTTAGTCAACTCTTAGCATATTTTTGTTGAGATAAGAGAAGAATACTATTGTCCACGACAGCATATATCATATTTTTAAACAATTTAGAAGCATGCATGACTTCAAGAGAAATGAATAAAACCCGATTGTCAGGGTACCCTAAAAGATAAAACAAAGTCTGCATCTGATGAGAAATATTTATCATAAACAATGCACTCGTTTATAAGCTGATCATTTCAAAAGCAACTGTTTAAATTTTAGAATGTCCAGGTATCATTCTTGGAGAAATCAAAACTGATGGAGAAGACGTCATAATTGAGTACACCGTATCTGTGTCTGAAGACTGTAAACCAATGACTTCAATATCTTGGAAAAGAAATGGCTCTGATTTGATATTGTCTGACGAATCCGAAAATTATTCTGGGGGAACATTGGATGATTTCTGCCTAAGAATTAGCAATATTAAAGAAGAATGTTTTGGCAAATACGAATGCACAGTTCGAAATGTATTTGGGGAAATGACAAGTCACTTCACATTAGGTAAAAGAATTCAATTTGATGTTTTATTATAGATAAAATGTGTCGTTATAGTGGACATGCATCTCTGAAAATATTTCAGAAAACGAGTACTTTTGAATTTAAAACGATTGAATCACTTTGCTTCTGGATAGGATCGTATTTTGCAGGTGATTAAAGAACAAAACTCTGAATATCCGAAAAAATCTTTCAAATATTATATGAAAATATAAATTGAGAATAAAGTCCTTCATATTGTTAATCAACTGTAAGAATTTCGATTGGTGAAGCTTACATCAATATTGCAGAGGACTCCAGTGAAACTAAACATAGGCGTGGTAAAAACCAATGTTGTTTTCAATTCTCAAATACGGGGAAAACCAACTATGACATCACATGTTAGCTAATTATGATATGCCTACAAAAGATTTTAAAAATATTTTATATAGACGTAAAAATTAAACTAATTACAAGAATAAGACAATTACCTTAAAAAACTGTTGTACCCAGGTTACATTAGTATAACTTGGGTAGCTACTAAATTCTTACATTATAATTTTCATGGAATTTTCCATTATGGAGTATTTACATTATCTTTCAAAATTCCTTCAAAGAACTATATGCGGTATATTGCATATATTTGCCCCCACAAAAGTCAAATTTTGAAAACTTCCTGAAATGTGCTGAATTCAAAAAAATTGTATGAGAAATATAAATTAACAGAAAATATTATAGTGTCAAAGCAGTGTATTCACAGTTTTTGTTTTTATGACGTCACAAACTAGTCCGATTTTATATCCTTTTTCAGAAAGAGGACAAAATGGACAAAATCTCAACAATTCTAGCTTTAAAATTTATAGAACGCAAGTTTGTTCAAGAACAATATTGACATATTTCATTGATATAATCATTCTACACATATGCGCTCGGTGACTTTCACTCAAAATATCGACGAAATATGTACATTTTTCTGTAAAATTCAAAAAAAACAGAAATTTACGCCATGTTTGTGACGTCATTACGTACATATGGCGTCATTACGTATGAAAATATTCAGTGCTTTGAAGTCAGTATATACTCCCCAGTTTAAGACCTTAATTAAATATATCTCCATCAAAGTTTGATTTGGGGGGCAAATATTGGTTATTACCGAATAAAGTTCTTTTGCAAATTTTTAAGTTTAAAGTCAAAGGGATTGATATATTTTTTATTTGAGTTATTGTGACGTAGGCAACACATGTTTCACGCAGAAAATGAATTTTACATGCAATGGAATGACTCGTTACAACCAAAATTTAATTATTTGTTGAGGACCATGACGTTGATACATGTTAACCGAGTTTATTGACTGCCATCATGTGTTCATCATCCCCTTAACCCCTTACATGGCATATACCCATTTCTACGCATCTGACTTGAAAAACGAGTATAATGAGAAAAAAAAAACATTCATGAATTCGTTAATACTGCAGATATCAGAATAAATTTTGCACTGTTGGAAAGAGAAAATATTTACGATAAAAAGGTTGTATGTAAAAATGCTAAATTCTGGTGATTACCTCCAAACCCCACCACATCCCCCAAAATGCTTAAAATTGGTTTGTAAAAAAAATGTACAACTTGCTCTTAATTTTCAACTCAACAATAAATATTTTCTAATATATTTAACTTAGAAAAAAAACTTGAATGAAACTCATTCTTGAATAAATGGAAATTCTAGCATGATAACGGTGTATTTCGTTGCCATGGCAACTGAAATGATATTTTTATAATCATTTTCAGAAATTACACTATACCTGCTTTTAGAATATATATACATTGGTATATTCAAAAATTACAAGAAATGCTCAGAAAAATGCATTGACATCTTAATATAAATTTGTCTAGAAATACTTAAAATCTTGGCCATGGAAGGGTTTAAAAGGACAAGAAGACTGCGTTATCATAATCATGATTACGGAGCATACATTTTATTTTAAGATATATTTCCTCGAAGTAAGTTAATGTTAAAAATACACGTTGAGAAAATAAAGTATATACATGGATAACTTGCACTCAAATGCACTTTAACACTATACCTTTTTAATTTTTATTAAAGAGCTAAAACCTGATAGAAATGGATACAAAATTATTTTTTAAAAACAGATAGACCAGTTTGCGACAGATGCCAGATCTTGTTTTCTGAAATAAATTACTATATACCCTCACGCCGAGACTATTAAGTTAATGTTTAAATGCTGTCTATTAAAGAGCTATGAGGTCTTAATATGGACTTGCTATCAGATGTCATGGTTGCCAAATATGTTAAACTGTACGTTTTCACTTTTAATATTCTGCGTAAACGATGTAACACTTTTGTATCTTAATTAATTCAAGGAAACGACGCATGAGCCTTTCATTAACTCATTTGCGAAGGTAAAATGATACATAAACTGATTTAAGCTAAAAAAAAAAAATAAATCAAAATTAGTTAATAATGAATCAAAATTCAACTAAACCCGTGTTCACAAAACGGAACGCACCAAACGAAATTCGTAACGAACGTACATGTGATGTCACTCTATCTTAAGGATCTGACACATGCCATACAGGATATTGAATTTTACAATATATTGGGATTGGATAATTATTGATTTAGTTTTAGTAAATCAATAAGAAAGAAAACATTCTGATATGAAGTATGGCTAATAAACCTTTTTCTATCGTTGATTTCTGTTTCAGCCACTGGAAATAAAATAGTGCCATTATTTTGT